GTTTCAAATCAAATTCGCTCATGTCATGATATTCTGCCGCTTATTACAAGGTTTTTTCATATAATAAATTATCTTATAATTTCTAGCGTTAAAATAAATGTGAAACTTTAAACTACTTTTACCGCTGGTACGCAAACTCATACGGAATCTTCCTATAAAAATGAATAGTATGATATCGGTTGGAAATAATAGTATGATTCTAATCTGGCGATAACTGGCAACTAATCGTACCCGTAGTTTGATGCCATCCACCTACTTCCTGCTGCGCACTATCAAATTCAAACGGCGCATTTACTTAATTCCCTAATTATTTGTGCCTTAAGTAAGATAAGTTACAACCAATTTCTACATATACAGCTGAAATCAATTGCTTGCACGCGGTGTGAGAACATCAACACATCGTACAACATCGATGAATCAACAACAACATCGCTTGAACATCAACACATCGTACAACGTCGTATAGTTTTTTTATGCAAACATCATTTACGTATCGTAATTATATATTCCATGGTTGCTTCTAGATCGTTGCATCACATTTGAATTTTGGCTGCAAAAACCTCGTGCACCGTATATCAGCTTCATCCATGTGTCTGGCCTAACTCATTAAAGCTCGGGAATGTTAAACGTAATTATCATCGAAGTTGGCGTCTCTTCTTCTCGCCTGCCAAAACCACCTCGTGTGAGTAACAAATGAAATATCGCGGCAATGCAAACATAAAAAATTCCTGTCATTCCAGTTGGAATGTTGTTATCGAGAACTCGAGAAGTCAATTAATAACGTTCAACTATAACGTTTAGTACGTAAGTCTAAACAATGAGAGTCTAGCCCCTGCCTAGTGTAAGTTTCATGTGAGTCTTTCTCGATATATTAACTAATATTAAATATTATTTTCAGCTTACGTCACTCAAGTAAATGAAATAAACGGGAGAAAAGCACCTCGACTTTTCTCTGCCCCATTGAGCCCCCACAAGTTCGTGTCAAGCATTATTTCCTGTTACATTATTTTATATATCATCATAGCACACGGCATGAAAATTATGTACTGTGTCATTGAATCCGGTTAAACTCTCTTGAATAATCTTGATATGTCGTTATCTCCTAGCAGTTTTGCCCCATTTATAACGTGTGTTAGTTTTTTATTTTATAGCTTACGGCAATATCAACATGATTGTGCGAATTAATCTACGTAATTGTCTATGATTTATGAATCAATTATTATTTTGAATGTCCTTGTGTAACTTAATCAGGCAGCTTGTACTTTACAACCCTGAGCGGAACGTTTACTTGACAAAATAGTTAGGTTTGTGTCATACCGAACACTTACTTGAGCGCTTTTGAATTACTCAGTCATTGCCAATTAACGTTCAGAAGAATTACCCTTAAGACTTATATAAGTTCTGCATTCTTACGGTACTCTGTTTTGCAGAGCACGTCATGTGAAGATGGACTCGATATAAGATGTTAAGCAAATCTATTTCATTGACACCCATCTGCGAGCGTCTGGGATAGACACTCGCGGAACAGTTCGGTTATTTCTGGATCGATAATTTGATATTTCGCTGTCGACTGTTCTATTTGAAAACTCGTTATTTACTAGGATTTTCTTACACGTTCTGAGTTCAGTTTTCAAATCACACTCGAATGTGCAGGTATTTAATGCTCTTTGTACGACAGTGCGCACAGTGTTGGTTTCGTTGAGCTCATTCACTTTCTTCGTTAGTACTTTCCCGATATCGATAGGTTTTTGGAAAATATTAGTGACAAAGGAATTATCTTCAATTTGCACTAATATATCTAGGAATGACAATTTGTTATTTTTCCAATTTCATATGTATTTTGGTTATGTATTTGGACTACGGGACTCGTCCGGACGCTGAAATTATTTTAAGAGTGATTTTAAGCTTAAATTTCAAACTGTATTCACAATTCCCTTAATTTGTACTACTGTCAATTCCAAAAGTTCAATTTTCAAAACATTCGCCTATTTGATGACAAAAATTGTGTATTCGTAACGTCGCACCCCATTAACGTCATTTGGTAGCCTGCTTCTTGATCAACTGGCGCCAACAAGAAATTATGTTCGAATCATTGAAAAAAACGAATAAGAATATTGTTAAGAAAAACATGCTTTAGTCTTCAATCAAACTTGCATTTACATAAGTGGGTATTTAGTCATTCAACCGACGAAGTTCAGGGGAAAGGAGGTATGATTTATCATATTTCTTTAATCTCTATTCAATGGAAGACAATAATCAGCAATGTTTGTCCTAATTTTCATGCCTGGAACGCCATTTTTAAACGAAGATTTGCATGTTGCTTGCGTTGGGCTCTTGCTATGTCAGTTTGTAATGGAAAAACCGCTTGTAAATTTTATATTTGTAGGTTGTGTGGCCTACACACAACTTCCCCTCACTAAAAAATGTTAATAAATCTATTCATACCAATTATTTCCTACGTGGGAGTAGTAATCAAGTAATACTGGACAAACTTACTATTGATTTACTGCCACGTTCGACTTAGGCGGGTCTCATGTAAAAGTATTACTAATAATAATGAGAATTAATATAAAATAATGATAATATAATTATACAGGAACTAATTATCTAATGAATTATTTGTGCACTTTTACATAACAACTTTCATGTTGACGCAAGCTAACACGTCCAACAAACTTCTTGGACTAATCAGACGCTCATACGAGTTCCTAGATGCAGAAACGATGAAGCAGTTGTTTGTTGCCGTCGTACGCCCGAGTCTAGAGTTTGGAAACAAGGCACGAAATGGAAAAGAATCGGCGACAGGCCACATCAGGCCTACACTTCAGAGCCGACATCACTATGTTATGTTATGTTATGTTATAAAAGTTTCGATGAAGAGAAATCATTTTTATCACAAGTTAGGAAGCGAGGCTCAGTGCTTCATTGCGTGTACACTCGGAACTGGAATGGGTAATATTGTCCAAATACTGACACAATTTCTTATCCACAGCACGAACAGAGAGCGGACGTAGCACTGAAACTGGGTCAGAATGACCCACATAAGGGCAGATGGTCCATCGCTGTTAGTACAAATACTTGCACATTTCTGTGATTGTATAAAGTGGGAGCTGTTTTGTTCTAAAACTTCGTTTCTACCGACCGCCCGAGGGAACTCTTATTCGAGCAACTCAACCCATGGAACGTCTGAGCATTGATTTCAGAGGTCCTTGCTTTCCCTTGCCCTGACATGTGTACAAGAATAGTTATAAAATGCCTAGGATCGATGTTCGCACTTTTCGGCATGCCAGGCTATATTCATTCTGGCGGAGAAACAGCGTTCTTCTGTCAAAATGTCATAGAATGCTGTTTCAAGAACTGAAGGCATATTTATCCCAGAAAGAGGTCGCAACAAATCGGACAACTCCCTACCACAGGACCGGAAATGCCCAATGTGAGCGCTACAACGGGATCATTTGAATGGCGATCGTTCTAAATCTAAAACTAGAGGCTCTCAAACTACTTGTTCGGCAGGAGCGGCTCACTTTCTGTGTGCCTACAGCCAGCGAAGCGGACGCTAAACTTATACTCTCCACTTTTGATATGCTGCTGCTGTATAATCACGTACAGGGG